GTGGGCGTGCTGCTGGCCCTGGCTGGGGAGGACCGGGCCAGGAGGAAGCACCACCGGGACCAAGAGGAGGCATCGGACTCGCCAGCTTCGGAGCCCTGCCTCTCGGAGAGCGAGGAGGAGGAGAGCGAGGACGCGGACGCTGGGGAGACGCGCCGGCGGACGCTGCGCTCCCACTCGCACAAGCCCTGGCCCCAGCCCCTCCCCTCTTTCGAGACACGCAGCGAGTTCGAGCAGATGACCATCCTCTACGACATCTGGAACTCGGGCCTGGACGTGGAGGACATGCACTACCTGAAACTCACCTACGAGCGCCTGCTGCAGGAGGACAACAGCACCGACTGGCTCAACGACACCCACTGGGTGCACCACACCAATATCCTTTCTGGGAGCGCCTGTCCCACCCAGGGTGGGGGTGGGGACACGGGGCCTTCGTCTTGGAGGGGGTGCCAGCTCCTGTCCTGCCCAGGGCAGTGCTGGCTGGTTCCGGGCTAAGGAAGGGGGACACGGGGCCTTCCCCTCTGTGGGGCGCTGGCTCCCATAGGGCCCCACAGTGTTAATGATCAGCTGAATGGCTGGGGTACTACAGATCGTGAGCCTGGGGTTTCTGCCCCACGACCTGAGGGGTGAGTACCCGTTTGCGCCTGTTGGCACCCAGTGCAAGTGTGCCCCCTGGCTGCCAGCTCTGGAGATGTTGAAAGGCCCCTGGCTCCTGTCCCCTGGAGGGGATGAGGGGTCTGGACGTGTGGGTCTCTTCTAGCTGTCTTTCCTTAACCCCTGCCCCCACTCACCAACATTGCCAACCCCAAGCGGAAGCGGAAGTCGTCAGACCTGCGGGAGCACCAGACTGGCTGTGCCCGCAGCGAAGGCTACTACCCCATCAGCAAGAAGGAGAAGGACAAATACCTCGACGTGTGCCCTGTGACGGCACAGGCGCTGGAGGTGGTGGACACGCAGGTAGCAGCAGCGGCCCCGGAGGCCTGAGCCCTTAGCAGAGCTGGAGACACCCCAGCCGGGCCCTGCTCGCTGGGCCCACGGGCGCAGGATTGTCCTTGGCAGAGCTGGAGACACCCCAGCCGGGCCCTGCTCGCTGGGCCCACGGGCGCAGGATTGTCCTTGGCAGAGCTGGAGACACCCCAGCCGGGCCCTGCTCGCTGGGCCCACGGGCGCAGGATTGTCCTTGGCAGAGCTGGAGACACCCCAGCCGGGCCCTGCTCGCTGGGCCCACGGGCGCAGGATTGTCCTTGGCAGAGCTGGAGACACCCCAGCCGGGCCCTGCTCGCTGGGCCCACGGGCGCAGGATTGTCCTTGGCAGAGCTGGAGACACCCCAGCCGGGCCCTGCTCGCTGGGCCCACGGGCGCAGGATTGTCCTTGGCAGAGCTGGAGACACCCCAGCCGGGCCCTGCTCGCTGGGCCCACGGGCGCAGGATTGTCCTTGGCAGAGCTGGAGACACCCCAGCCGGGCCCTGCTCGCTGGGCCCACGGGCGCAGGATTGTCCTTGGCAGAGCTGGAGACACCCCAGCCGGGCCCTGCTCGCTGGGCCCACGGGCGCAGGATTGTCCTTGGCAGAGCTGGAGACACCCCAGCCGGGCCCTGCTCGCTGGGCCCACGGGCGCAGGATTGTCCTTGGCAGAGCTGGAGACACCCCAGCCGGGCCCTGCTCGCTGGGCCCACGGGCGCAGGATTGTCCTTGGCAGAGCTGGAGACACCCCAGCCGGGCCCTGCTCGCTGGGCCCACGGGCGCAGGATTGTCCTTGGCAGAGCTGGAGACACCCCAGCCGGGCCCTGCTCGCTGGGCCCACGGGCGCAGGATTGTCCTTGGCAGAGCTGGAGACACCCCAGCCGGGCCCTGCTCGCTGGGCCCACGGGCGCAGGATTGTCCTTGGCAGAGCTGGAGACACCCCAGCCGGGCCCTGCTCGCTGGGCCCACGGGCGCAGGATTGTCCTTGGCAGAGCTGGAGACACCCCAGCCGGGCCCTGCTCGCTGGGCCCACGGGCGCAGGATTGTCCTTGGCAGAGCTGGAGACACCCCAGCCGGGCCCTGCTCGCTGGGCCCACGGGCGCAGGATTGTCCTTGGCAGAGCTGGAGACACCCCAGCCGGGCCCTGCTCGCTGGGCCCACGGGCGCAGGATTGTCCTTGGCAGAGCTGGAGACACCCCAGCCGGGCCCTGCTCGCTGGGCCCACGGGCGCAGGATTGTCCTTGGCAGAGCTGGAGACACCCCAGCCGGGCCCTGCTCGCTGGGCCCACGGGCGCAGGATTGTCCTTGGCAGAGCTGGAGACACCCCAGCCGGGCCCTGCTCGCTGGGCCCACGGGCGCAGGATTGTCCTTGGCAGAGCTGGAGACACCCCAGCCGGGCCCTGCTCGCTGGGCCCACGGGCGCAGGATTGTCCTTGGCAGAGCTGGAGACACCCCAGCCGGGCCCTGCTCGCTGGGCCCACGGGCGCAGGATTGTCCTTGGCAGAGCTGGAGACACCCCAGCCGGGCCATGCTCGCTGGGTCCAGGGGCGCAGGATTGTCCTTGCCAGAGCTGGAGACACCCCAGCCAGGCCATGCTCGCTGAGTCCAGGGGTGCAGGATTGTCCCTGCCAGAGCTGGAGACACCCCTGCCGGGCCCATGTCGCCCATCCCCACCCAGGGCAGAATCGTTCCTGATGGCTTAGTCCCATGGAGGGCGTGGAGATGTGGGTGGGAGCATTACAGTGGTAGGAGATGTGATCCTTTCTGAGGTACAGATGCTCTAAAAGCCCCTCTCCCTCCATTTCCCAGGGCACCAACCGCATCCTCTCCGAGCGGAGATCGGAGCAGCGGCGCTTGCTCAGTGCCATTGGCTCCTCTGCTATCCTGGACAGCGACCTGCTGAAGCTCAATCAGCTGAAGGTAGGTGCCCAGTTCCGTGGATCCTTGCTGGGGCCTGTGGGGTAGGATCAGGGCAGAGAAGATCCTGCAAGGCACTGGCCTCAGTGCACCAGGGGGCGCTGTGCTGCAGGGGGCGGGGCG